CTGCTGCTGCATGCAAATTCAACGACCCAGCAGCAGCAATCAATTCGTGATTGTGATTATATTTGCCACTGACCCTGTGGGGGTTGCTAGCGTCTCAGTATACATCGCGCTACTGTACCTATGCTGCGACGTTGCTGATGGCTGCTGCTTAATTGGATGAAAGCACCCAGCATTTGCGATCGGCCGCCGGCCATGATGCAGATGCGGGATTGAATTCAGGGCTCTTCGGCACAAAGGCTGCATTCAAGAGTCGTGAGTCTGAGTATATTCACATTGCTTGCTTGCCGTCGTGCTCGCCTTGATTCATCCAGCAAGTCACAGTTTTGAGGGTATGATTGAGCCGAAAGGGCCCAGCTAACAGCTGCCGCGTGCTCACATGATCTGCCAGCTTTTAGGCCGTGCACAGTTAATCAGCTGTTGCCCGCATGATTCAGTAGCATGCAAATGGGACAGGATTCACACTTCGGGCTCCACATCGATCCTTGCTCAACAGCTGCAGGTGGGCAGGGTTGATCACCGCGAGCGACACTCTCAACTGCCGCCTTGTTTAGATCGCAGCACCCTGAATGAGATCTTCTCGCCCTACTGCAGTACACAAACCCGTTCACACTCTGCCGCCCCACTGGCAACAGAGCCTCTCTCCACATCACTGACTGACTGCAGCTAGCAGTCAGGGTGCGCGCGTCGAAGCCTACTCAAACATCGACGCCGCTCCATCACGGCTTCCTCATCCTCATCTCTCTAAAACGAAGCTCATTCCCGCTCTCTACTCGAGAATCTTGCATCAGCAACAACACAGAGGCAACAACGCGTCCCCACTCGAACGTCGCAGGAGTCCTTCGCCCTCATCTGCGCTGCACCCCCTTTGCTGCACGCCATGGCATTCGCGCAGCCACCGCAGCAGTTCTCCGCTGGCGGAGCAGATGCTCAGGACATGGTCAGAAAGGGCAGTGAGGCTCGACGAAATAGCAGCCCTGCCGCACGACAAGAAGCTGCTTCGGGACCGGCCAACATGAGCTCTTTGCACCAGAGTGAGGATGTGGGTGGATGGGCTCGACGCACTGCCAACAACGTGGTGATGACGGAGCGAGAAAGGAGTCGGCTGTTGCGGACAGTCTCTACTCTCGACAAGACCCAAGGTTCTCCGGCGGCTGCGAATCCGACGCACGCTGATCGGAGATCGGGAGAGGCAGCTAGTCGCTCGAACGGCTCTGAAGGTACAGAGACGCCTCCATGCTACGAGACTGCACTCGGCGCAGATTACAATGTAGACTCTCTCTCGAAAGGCAAAGCCAAAGCAGCGATGCTGCGAGCCATCTCCATCCCGAACATCGCACGCGCAGTGCAGGGCAAGCTCATCAGCCCAACATCCGCAGCTTCGCCAAGTTCTGCAACCTCCACGCGGGCAGCGCAGAACAGCGCCAGGGCAAGCACGTCTTTCTCCATTGATGCTGGGCCTTCAACTCCTACGTCTCCTCAGCAATCATCGCGTAGCAGCCGGCACGTGCGCTCGACGTCGAGTGGGCTGCCTTTGCACCCCTTGGCAGTTTCTGCCGCCGCACTTCCTCAGCCCAACGTCACTTTCTCGCTGCCTTCGAGCCCTACGAGACGCCGGTCATCGGCAGAAGCAGCCGCGACAAGCGCCACACCGATTGACGGCGCGTCGGAGGAAGGGCAGATAGCTACAACTCAATCCGTGTATGCGTCGTGCGGTGAGTGGTCGGGGACAGGCATCGTCGTTGGCCTGCTGCAAAGTCTTGTATTTCAGGTGTGAAAGCCAGTGGGTGGGGTGGGCGCCGCGCGCACCTTTGCGGCTGACTGCCCACGCCAAGCAATCGTGAACCTTGGCTCACTGTGGCGCCATGGCCCATCCCAAGATGGCGTGTTCCTTCTACAGCTTGCTTGTCTCTATTCGCAATTTGCTGACTCGCGTCTGATACGGACCTCTCCCCACATCCCTGCCCCACATTTATCTCGTCGCCCCGGCCTCGACATTCGCGATTCACGATTGTGTGATTTGGCCGTCGCTCCCACCAATCTCTCTGTTTTGCAATCGTGGATCCCGGACTTTCTCCTCGGCCGCGCGCTGGTACCACGACGAAACTCCGACAACTCCGCACCGTGTTGCACGACGACCTTGCTCTCGAACATCGCATCGCATTCCTGATCCTTTACGATTGCCCCTTTGCTGATGTGCGCTTTTCTGGCTCGGCGCATACAACCCGCTCTTTGCTGCTTCCCCGCTCGGTGGATCGATCGCTCTCACTTGCCTCGCCGCTCTGCCGCTCGCATGAACGAATCTTGGTTCGCTGCTTACTGCTGCATGCACACGCCCTGCTGCATCGCGTTTATTCGGGCACGCGACCTGTCTTTGTTCGGCTTTGCGGTCCAATTGCCTCAACGCGCGTTGCGTCTCTACGACGCGGCGGCTCGACTGTTCTGGGCCCTCTCGTGGGTCCTCACCGTCAAACCGCACCCTCTGCCACTCATCACCTGCTTGTGTGCTCTCGATTCGGCATTGGCTCCCGATCAACAATCGCGATTCGACCAATCAACTCTCCTGCATGGTCTTGACTTGCTCTGACTTCGATGGTGCGCGACAATTCGCAAACAAATCATTCACGCTCATAACCACTGCACGCCATCCGCTATTCAGCTCCAGATGATCGCACGCCCACGCGTCCATCTACCGAGCAATCTCGGGTGATTTCGAGCGCGCCGTCAACCTCACGCCGCTCTGCCGACGAAACAATCCTTGCCCCGCGCGGCGCCGGCAGTTCGAACGGTCAGATCTCCACTTCAGCGCTGCTTAGCTCGACAACTCCATTTCATTCAAATAGCGTGACGCCGCCACAGACCGACGCCACTGACTCTGCGACACCAGACTTGGACGCCGATCCAGCCGAGATGTCGCACTCATCGCGGAGGCCATCATTGCTGGAGCTGGTAGCGGGCCGAAAGGCGGAGCAGGTACATGTGGCGCCAAATTACGCGTCCCTGAAGCCTGCACTGGGCAGCAGCGCTCTGCGAGGAGACGCGCACGTCAAATCGAACGTGGCCGTTATCAATTCAGTGCCGAGCAGGCTGCCAACGAGTGCCGCCGTGGGATCACCGGAGCTTTTGCACACGCCAGGCGCTGCACAGATCGACCCCTCGGATCTAGATGGCGACGAAGCCGAAATGGAACGCTTGAGCTCTCCTACAGACTATCACGCATCGGATCAGACCATCGCGTCTGGCAACTCGCCTCACGCATCGCGCTCGAGGTCTAGCTTCTCCTTCTTGCGCAGCTTCGATAGGCGTACTTCCAGCGAGGTCTCCACGGCCCCTCAACGCCGCGGGAGCGCCGCTTCCTGGTTCGGTCGGTCGCGCGACAACCTTCAGACAGCACTGGAAGACGGCAGCGACGCCGAGGGAGGGCCATGCAGCAGTACACCCAGAAGAGCAAGCGTGGCCTCTGTTAAGGGCATTTTTCGCAAGAAAGGCAGCAAGGTCAAGGATGGGCAATCGGCACGCTCAAGCGGCTCTTCGTCACCCAGATACACGGAGCCCCAGTCCGCATTTCATGTTCCCTTCGCTTTGGGTGATTTGTCGGGACAGGCTTCACCCACTCTAGAGCAGACAGAGGAGGCTGCACGAGCCTTCTCTACCCCGTTCGGGATGCCAGTACGCACAAGGAATGTGTCCGCACAATCGACTTTCGTAACGCCCTCCATGCATGCGCATACAAGAGCGCAGCGAGAGGATGAAGGGCCACTAGGAGAAAGAAGACCGTCGCTTGCGCCATCAGGCAGTCGCGACGCGCGCTCTGGCATAATCACTGGAATGCCTGCAACTGTCGCCTCGCCTGCTACGTCTCCCTCTGATAGAGCTTCTGCCTTGTCGGGTAGCACGGACCATACCTCGGTTTCCACTCATGCAGCAGCATCGCGATGTGCAGGATCCAGCCCGAATGGCGGTCGGTTGATCAGCGCTGAATCGAGCCGTGTGGGCGTCTTTGATAAGGTAGCGGTCGACAGCAGACAGCTACTTGGCTCGGCGCTGAGCGTGGCGGACGAGCAAACCGCGCTTCACGAGCAAAGGCCCACAGCGCTCGGCGTCGATCAGGAGCAAGCTGCGCTCGATGCTCGATCTGGCCAGGACCCTAACATCTCGTCGAGCGGAGGTGAGGTCACTGCGCAGGGGGCGACCTACAGAGCTTCAAGTGGTGAATCTCCTACTACAAGCACACCTGCCCGGCAGCCCGCTGGTCGCGGACGACTGTCTCATCTTCCTCGGCTCGACTCGATGCGACTTAATCGCAACACTCAATCAAATGGATCTGGAAATGGCAGCGCGCCACCGGATGGTGGTGCTGGAGGCGATGGCAACGATGATGGACGAAGACAAAGCCAGGAAGGCGGGGATGCTGGCGACGACAGCGAAGATGACTCTGAGGATGATCATGCGCCCAGTGGGTCGGAGGCGGAAGAGACTGAAGAGGCAGAATCCGAGACGGATGCGGAAGATGAATCAGATCATGAGCGGTCGCCTTCGCCGGCGATGCCTGGGTCTATGCCCATAACCGCCGCTACGCTCGCTCGAGTTTCACCCCCCGCTGGTATAGCTCTGCCTCCCGCTCAGAGGTTTGACCAAACCCTTGCCAACTCGATCTCGAGGGACGCGCAAAGCGTCGACAACTCGAATCGTCAGAGCTGGACGCGTTTCGCCGAATTCCCACCCCTCGAGACTCCCCGCACCCTAACGGGCCGCACGCCAATCAGTTCGACGCCGCTGGCCAGGGCCTTGAATGCCGTTACCACCAACGATTCCTACTTTGCGCAACGCCCTGCTCAGCCTCGCCTTGCCACGGGTGCTCGACCACCAACAGGCTCCGACGTACCGCCGCCTTCTCCTTCCATAATCTCAAGGTCTAGGGCACCCTCCAGCGCGAGCGTGCGCACCACCAGGTCTGGCCACAGCGCCGTTGTCGGAACCCCTAGTCGCGACACATCAGCTTTGCCATCGGTGAACGGCGCGACGCATCCTCTCTCGTCTACACCCCGTGCCAAGGACCCTGCACATCCTGCGAATGGCCCATCGTATCCTCACTCATCCACTCCAAAGCCCAGAGACCACTCACCCGGACAACGCTATCCTCTTTCATCCACCCCCCGGGCCAGACAGCCATCAACTGGGCACCAGTCCTCGCATCCGACGACTGCGATCGCATTGGGAACTGGTGCCCCAGCTTCGCGCACGGGAGCGGATGGTCAACCGGCTTCCATTCGAAGCACCTCTTTCCGTAGACCCCTTACTGCCTCCGGAAGCTCTGCATCGTTGAGCATCCCTGTCGGCCTCGCCAAAAAGCCGGACCCAGGTCGTGAAGCATCCCCAGCTTCTCGCAATGTTGGAACGCCGACAAGTCCCAGGGCTAATGCATTTGCATCCGTCGGCCCTTCTGCGAGCGCTACAGGTGCTTCGCGTCCCGGCTTGTACTCTCAAAAGTCCCAGTCACTTGTGGATCTGAGCGCGAGCTCGAGGCGTGAGGCGATTAGACCTACGCAACCGCCCAGCTTCCCTGCATCGCCCGGTCTTTTCACTGGTCGAGCTTCTCCTTCCCCGTCCCAACAGGGCGGCGCCACGCTGGCCCCTCCAGCCTTCCAAGGCAAGGACGCGCCGGACGCCCAAGGCATGCGCCGACGGCAATCAATGTTCGAGGTGGGCAAGGAACCTCCTCCTTACTCTATCATCCACGAGAGACCGGAAGGAAAGCAGCTCATCATGCCGCGCGAAGAGGAGGGCAAGGAGAGCCTCCCCTCTTACTTTTGTGGCGTACACATCGAAGGCTACTTGCCCCGCAAGATGGAGTTTTCAGCTCCCGGCGTTCAGGCAAAGGATCGAAGCTGGAGGCGCTACTATTTTGTGCTGCACGGTACTAGTCTGAAGCTCTTCAAAACCGATCTCTCTGCAGCTGGTTACGCAAGCAAGGGTGCTTGGGGTGAGATGGACGGCGCTCACGTGCACAAGGAGCCCATGAACGAAGTTGCCCCCGCAGCGGGGCAGAATGGCAGTTCAGCTCCAAATGGAGACGAAAAGCGCATCAGCAACGGGACGAGCAGCGCTATGAATGAGCGCAGCACCAGTGGCGTACATGGCACCAGCGGCTTGAACCACGCCGTTGAACTCGTGATCAATAATCGACCTTTTGGCAGCCAACACGCGATCAGCAGCGCGAGTGCCAGCGCTAGTGATCTGAGCAAGCACAATGCTGTGCGCAATTATACGCTGCAGAATGCCGAGAGCGGCTTGGCAGCGGACTATCTCAAGCGACGACACGTGGTGCGTGTACGCGTAGAGGGCGAACAGTTCCTACTGCAGACGCGCAACGACCGGCACGTCGTGGAGTGGATCGAAGCTTTCCAAGGTGAGTGTCTGCGAGACACATGCGCATTGGAGCATCGACTTCTGACGGATGCCGCCCGCTTCAACACACAGCCTCGACCAATGTCGCCCTGGACCTGGACAGTCGAGTGCTTCCGAAATTCATCACGCTACCTCGTCGTCGCAGACGCAGAAGGGCGCAAGAAGGAACAGCGGTAGATGAGAGAGCACGCGAAGCGGCGCAGATTGCAGAGGCTCAACGTCGATCGGTCACTGATGCTGTGGGAGGAGGTCCTGCTACGAGAGGTCGAGCCAGTCCGCCCAGACCTCTCGGCCTGCCCCAAGCTGGGGATCGCGGTAGCAGAGAGCAGCAAGACACGTCCGATGCGCTCGAAGCTATGCTCGCCGAGGTGAGATGTGCAAAGCGTGGGTTGGTATGAAGGCGCATAGGTGCTGATCTGGCGTTCCCTCACGTCCTGCAGGAACATCGAGACATGGCGCGACGCGATGCCTCTGAGATGTGAGCGGCTCCCCCTCCGCGCTCGTTGACGTATCCCCAGTGCGTCTGAGAAAATCCTCGGTGGTCTTACTCGCACTGCCGACCCATATCCCCGAGCATTCCCCTTTTCCCCAACGAGACACCTGGTGCTCGAGCGTGGTACCTGCACGATGCTTCTAGAACGTAGCAACCCTGATTCATCATACCTTTCCTCATAGCATCGTCAGATTGTAAATGATACTTCATCTCATTAGCTCCGAGCTCGTTAGCATTTGGAGATGCTACAACACAGTCACATTGCAACTAGGCATTCGATTCTCTCCACATTCGCGTGCTACTGTCGTGACTGGTGCGCGAGCTGGTGTACAAGCAGGGCTTCTCGGCAAGTGCTGGAAATACGAATTTGGCTGGTTGGGCGCGGGCACTAGACTACGCTCGACACCTCTCAAAAGGCGCTTAGAGGCGCTTTTGACTGTTTGCGTTTGCGACGCTTTTCTTCGCTCTTTACCCTCTCTGCCGCCTTCTTCTTGTTGTGTTCCTGTCTAGCTCCAGATTTGGTATCGTGCAGCTCCTTTCGAACCAGAGGAAAAGGAGAGCGAGTTGAATGTGAGCAGCGGAAATGCAAGCATTGATGAGACGCCCGTTGCGAGCAAGCTGGGAGAGAGGGCACAACGCGCACGAGATGGAGAAAACTTACGAGATTGGCGATCCGCTTGGCCGTGGACACTGCATTGAGCCTCTCGAGCACCTTTTCCTCCGGCATGGAGTGCTCCGTCATCTCGACGTCTGCAAATAGGAAGAGCATGCACATCG